CTTCAATGAAGGGCTCCTGAGATGCCAGGTCAGGTTAGGCGTTAGAGTAACTCGGGGGAAAAAAAAAATTGGAATCTAGGAGGGTTTGCTAGAAATTGTTCTGACAGAGAGCGTCCTGACGGGGAGCATCACTGCCTGGTACTGAAACGGTACCAGGCAGGAACGAAAGGCCCTGCAAAGTATGGTTCATTCAGCTGAACTCACCATAGGTGCTATTTACACCAGATGCTGCAAAAATTAGGCCAGTAGAATCATTTAAGTTCCCAAATCCCACCCGGATAACTGACTTTTCACCGTGCTGAGGGGAGAAGGTACCGGTTACACCAGGCAGCACTAAGAGGCTCAGAAACAGCTTCTACCCTCAAGCCACAAGAATACTGAATGATGACCCTGCTTCATCCCAACATTAATATTTATGTGTTTATTACTACTATATTTGAGAAACTGACAGCTATTAATTTTACTGAGATCATATTTATGATTTCATGTACAAAACCCAAAACCAGTGAAGTTGGCACGTTATGTAAATCGTAGATAAAAACAGAATACAATGATTTGCAAATCCTTTTCAACTTATATTCAATTGAATACACTGCAAAGACAAGATGTTTAATGTTCAAACTGAGAAACTTTATTTTTTTTTTGCAAATAATCATTAACTTAGAATTTAAAGGCAGCAACACATTGCAAAAAAGTTGGCACAGGGGCCTTTTTACCACTGTGTTACATCGCCTTTCCTTTTAACGACACTCAGTAAACGTTTGGGAACTGAGGAGACCAATTTTTGAAGCTTTTCAGGTGGAACTCTTTCCCATTCTTGCTTGATGTACAGCTTAAGTTGTTCAACAGTCCGGGGTCTCCGTTGTCGTATTTTACGCTTCATAATGCGCCACACATTTTCAATGGGAGACAGGTCTGGACTACAGGCAGGCCAGTCTAGTACCCGCACTCTTTTACTATGGAGCCATGCTGTTGTAACACGTGCAGAATGTGGCTTGGCATTGTCTTGCTGAAATAAGCAGGGGCGTCCATGAAAAAGACGTTGCTTGGATGGCAACATATGTTGCTCCAAAACCTGTATGTACCTTTCAGCATTAATGGTGCCTTCACATATGTGTAAGTTGCCCATGCCTTGGGCACTAATACACCCCCATACCATCACAGATGCTGGCTTTTGAACTTTGTGCCTATAACAGTCCGGATGGTTCTTTTCCTCTTTGGTCCGGAGGACACGACGTCCACAGTTTCCAAAAACAATTTGAAATGTGGACTAGTCAGACCACAGAACACTTTTCCACTTTGCATCAGTCCATCTTAGATGAGCTCGGGCCCAGCAAAGCCGGCGGCATTTATGGGTGCTGTTGATGAATGGCTTTCGCTTTGCATTGTAGAGTTTTAACTTGCACTTGCAGATGTAGCGACGAACTGTAGTTACTGACAGTGGTTTTCTGAAGTGTTCCTGAGCCCATGTGGTGATGTCCTTTACACACTGATGTCGGTTTTTGATGCAGTACCGCCTGAGGGATCGAAGGTCACGGGCATTCAATGTTGGTTTTCAGCTTTGTAGCTTACGTGCAGTGATTTCTCCAGATTCGTTGAGGAATGTTGTTCTTAAACTGTTCGACAATCAGCTCACGCATTTGTTCACTGAGTGGTGACCCTCGCCCCATCCTTGTTTGTGAATGACTGAGCATTTCAGGGAAGCTGCTTTTATACCAAATCATGGCACCCACCTGTTCCCAATTAGCCCGTTCACCTGTGGGATGTTCCAAATAAGTGTTTGATGAGCATTCCTCAACTTTCTCAGTCTTTTTTGCCACTTGTGCCAGCTTTTTTGAAACATGTTGCAGGCATCAAATTCCAAATGAGCTAATATTTGCAAAAAATTACAAAGTTTACCTGTTCGAACATTAAGTAACTTGTCTTTGCAGTGTATTCAATTGAATATAGGTTGAAAAGGATTTGCAAATCATTGTATTCTGTTTTTATTTACGGTTTACACAACGTGCCAACTTCACTGGTTTTGGGTTTTGTAACAACTGAATTCAAGCTGTTCAAGTATCTGTGCTCCTATCAGTGGTTCAAGTGTACTAGGCCCAGGTTCAAATGGTGCCCTGCTCCCTGCTCCACTCCAGCTCCACTTGGCTGTTCTGATAGCCACAATTCTACATCCTATCCACCTTATTCCTAGCCCCCATGATACCTTGCATGAATTATGTGCACAACTTCCTGTGTTGAACCGAAACCGGCAATTTCCAAACAGTTTGTTTAGAAAACTCTATTCTTCTTTCCAAGAGCAGTTGGGAAACAAAACATGATGGAACACATCACCTGTTATAGGTCAAAGAGAATTATGTGATCATCCCTCTGCCATCTCTGCCAGCCATCTCAAAGCATTTTTTTTTCTTTTCAACTGAGCACGCTAGCAATTAGCTTGCCATGCTCTGTTAAAATATTGTTACTTTTAACATGGCCTGAGCTGGCTTAAGGTAAACATCTGGTCCTCTTAAAGGTGATTTCTGATTCCTGGTGACTTATTAAGAGATACTAACATGTTCGGCAACAATTCAGTATTAACTGTAGCTCCATGTAAAGTGAATGAATGTGATGTTTCCCAGCTAATCCTCCGCTTGTCTGCATTAACAACCCAGTTTACATGTTTTTTTAACTTCTGATTTATTAAGAACTGTATTCTGAGTGAACCATGATGCTGAATTTAGCAGCAGACTTCAGTAATAGTAATATAAAGTACAAGTAAAAGAATAAACTTTTGGCATTCATATTTTGTATATGATACAAAGTATGGTAAATCAATAACAAATTCTCAGCCCTAATGACTAAATACATATTTCCAGGTATGTTGCTGAATTTATTTTATAATGAGCAATTTTCTAATGTAGGTTGAGAATGAAGTCAGATGGGGAAAGTCAGGGATATCATGTACTGACATTGAGTGACGGTCCTGTCAGTCTACGTGTCATTCTCTTCTGCAGATTCTGATTTAATACTTTTTGGCTATGTCTGGTGAAACTCTTGTGTCTTTTATTTATCTACTCATGGTACCTTTGGCAACAGGAACAATCCCTTTTTGTTCTGGTTACATGTTCAACACAGTTGCTGAAGACAAAAATTTAGCTTAGACTGGTTGTTAGTCGTTACAGACACGGACAGTGCAACAGGTCCCAGAGCTCCGCAAAGACATTTTAGAAAATGCTAAGTTAACATTAGTTAAATATTTGTTAAAAAATAAATCAGTATTTGCTAAACTGAAGGCAAATTACTTTCGAAAAGAACCAGCGTTGGCAGTTAGCCGTCAAGAGTAGCCACTGGGACTAACCACAGACAGTCGACGTTTAAATCTGCATGTGAACAACAGTGTTTTCATATGGTCTCTATTAACCTACATACAAATTTCTTAGGAAAATGGTGATACGAACAGTCTGTTCATTAAAGGGCAGAAGTTAAAATAGACTCTTTTTTTTTTTTTTTTTACAAAATAGTCATGATGTAAATTAAAGCTGCAAGAAGCAACGATCGGGCCCTGGCACCACTGTGAGCGGCAGGGATACTGGTAGGTTGCTGGCTGATGCGGCTTTTCATTTCTGTGGCAGTTAGAAACAGCATGCAGGAGTGAGATGGTATATCCTTCAAGAGCGAGGGCGCTGAAATGACCTATTCTACAATTTATACCACTTCCTGTGTCCACAATGTGGTGCTGGAGAACACACTAATTATATGTCATGTTGCTGTAAATGACCATGATGACACCATGTAAATTCCATATAAATCAAAAGATAATTGTCTACCAAGTCATCTGTTTTGCATGTGGAGGCCTTTAGGTGAGGAGTCTTATAAAACAAGTAAAAGGACTGAAACCAGATCCACATAAATGGCTTGTAGAACACTAGATTCTTTCTTTTCCCCCCATCTGTTCAAAATTCAACAGGCTGCCATTTATGTTCTAATACTGCCATCTAGTGGTCTTGTAGGAGAACACATTATGAACTGAATAAGATGACCAGTATAATATTGTAAACAAGCTACATTTATTCTCATTCTAGTAACCACTAGTCTACAAGCTGAACATAGGTTGGTTTGTTGTTTTATTTATTCAGAAAACAGTGTTTTTCAGTTTTGTGAAAAGATTAGTTGATTGTGATGTTTTTTTTATTACTCCATAAAGCTTTAAGGTGTGCACAGTGTGACATTGTTTTCTATGTTGTTGCCTGTTATAAATAAATGATAACTGTAGACAGTAAATGTGAATGTGTAGCAGGTGCTAGGTGTATTTAGTATAGATATTTAGACACCTCATAAGTGAGCTAGACAGACATTCCCCTGCTCATTACTGTGCACAAATGTACTGTATGTACTGAGGCCTCAACCTCAAAACACCCTCTGGTGCTGGTGGATAGAAACCTCCCGCAAGAGTTCACGTTATGTGCACTGTTGTTGTTTTTTTTAATTATGTGGAAGGGATGCCCCCATCTTCCACTTTAGCACCTGCCCTGTGAATTGTCTGTATACGGCACTGCTGCAGAGACATACACATAAGCGCACTGGCACATTTCCCTATCCTTCTGTGTTTCACTGCATGGAAAAGGATGAGAGCACCTTTAATGAGAATGTCTAATAATTCCATGGACAAGGTGAGAAAAGTGGGATAAGTCCACTGGAGTTGTTTCCCTGATTGAAAGAGCTCCAGGTATGACAGCAAAACACTGAATTAACTAACAGAACAAGACAAAACAATGCGCACCATCATGCTGAGGCAGCCATCGGTGGTGCCATCTTGACAGCAGGATGAAAAGAAACCATGATAGATGACAGATGACTTTGGTACAGGAATGCTGCCTCACATGTGACACTGGATAGCAGCATAGTGTAGAAGTCATGGAGATAAGGACAGGATCATCTGGAGGATGGATGCAAAAAGAACGAACCGGTAGTGGGTGTGTCCTGTAGTGGCTGCTGTCACATAAACAGGGAAAAAAGAAGCACTTTCAACCACATCTTATGACTCACAGGAGTGCTGTCAACTCACTTAGGACTCAGGTCTGAAGAAAGCCTGACATAACTCCTGGGGAAGAGGATTCTTCAGTCTACTGCCCATCGCAGAACAACATGGCACCGACTAAACTGGGTAAATCTGCATTTTCATTCATTCATTCATTCATTTCATTTTTTTTATATTATTGCATTGCATTCATGTTTGCTTCCTTTGCTTGTGCAAACTGTGCTTCAAAAACACAATTAGTAGTGTAAATGTGCTTCTCTTGTAATTATTCTTTGAGTTATTTTATTTTCTACATGCTTAGCATACAAGTCCTTTGTAATGACTTTGGAGGGCTTACAATTTAGACCTTTTTTTCTACTTTTACTACCACGGTCGTGGTTTAAAATCATATGTGTTGGAATCACATGCAGAGTGAGAGCAGATAGGAATCACTGTAGTATGCTGTCTCTGCTGGGTAAACCTGATTAACCAGTTAGTTCAGAGTCTCTGATTGCAGGCTCGTCACACCTAACAAGGGCGACTTTACTTACTTACAAAGCTCAACAGAAAGTCATTTGAGTCTTTCAGAGGTAAATATGAGTGAAAATATAGGAATCTGCTATTCTGTTAAACATTTGTCCAGTCATTGAAAGGTTTCACATTTCATGTTTAATCATGTCAACCCAGGGCACCCACTAGCTCACCTGGTAGAGCGGGCCCCTCATATACAAAGGCCATGTCCTTGTAGCCCTTTGCTGCATGTCATACCCTCTCTCTCCCCCTTTCCTATCCAATAAAGGCAAAATGCCAAAAAATAATCTTAGAAAAATCATGTAGACCAGTGGCTGTATTCACTAACATTCTAAGAACACTCTCAGAGAGCTCCTAACTTAGCCTAAATACTTTTAGTAAAGAGTCTTAGCTTAGGAGTGATTTAGGAAGACTCTCAGAGCAACTCTGAACAAGGAAGAGACAGAAACTTTCACCATAGTGAGGAGGTGTGGTTGACCCTGCCGCTAGGTGTGATGCATTCTTTTAATAGATGTGATTGGTTGTCATAGACACACCCCTTTGTGAGCCTGCAAGGTGTGGACATCCAGTGGAAATGAAATGAACTGCTAACTGTGAAAGTTAAAGCATGCATTGTTAGTGTTAGTGTGATCACTCTGCTGATGGAAGGATTTCACAGACCCAAATCATTAGTGGTGCATTTCTCCAGTTTTCCAAATATCTTAGTATTTTGATCATTTTTATTTCTGGCATTTTAGGATTAGGTGGGAAATATGTGCGTATCCCTATATCAACCACACATATTATCCCTGCACGATCTAATCTGTGGCATTTCATTTACTCACTGTCATCCAGTGTTTCGAGGATATTTCTCTGACCTCTTTGTGATTTCACCATTTTCTTCTCTGCTTGAGAAACTTTTAAGTCTTTTAAAAGTCCTCCTCTCTGCTCCTAACAGTTTTCACCTCAGGAGCTCTTTTAAGGTCTAGGGTGCTCTGTAGATAAATTTTATTTGTACAAGGACCTAATCTTAACTTAAAGGGGACATTCTAAAAAACGTCACAATAATAAGTATTTTCTTTTTGTCACTAGGAGTCACTCTTTGTTCTAGGAGGCTTTGTGAATATGGCCCAGAAGAGCAACTATACAAAAAAGGGCCGGGTCAAGGGCGGGTGTTGGGCAAATTACTCTCAAAATGTAATATATTACATATTACTTGTTACCTTCATTTGAAAGTAATATGTTACTTCACAACATTCCACTATGTGTAAAGTAATAAGTTACTCATTACACTACTTTTGCATTACTTTGATCAAAATTACCTCAGAAGAACTAATGTTGATTTTAAAAGGATGAGGGTCATGTTGTTTCACAGCAGATAATCAAAGCACAGAAGCTCCAGTTTATTACATTTAATTTCAAATCCAGTGCTGTACAGTCCTGACCCATTAATGTATTCACATACAGTGGTTACCACTTTGTATTAAAGTGAAAAAAAAATGATACAAAGCGATTAAATAGCCTAGACCTTTTAAAATAAATGAGTAGCCTTGGATACAGGGCGGGTCAGGCAGAGGATCAAAGTCTTATAATTATGAGATATGGCTCAATATTTGTGGGCCTGTGATATGAAAAACAAAAAACAAATGTTGAGGTTGGCACAACAAACAGAAGGGCATGCGATTAAGTCATTTTGACGAGTGCTGATTAAGACACTGGAGCTGGAAGACCAACCTGCCGGTTCCTGGTGCGCCCGTCAGCTACAGCAGCATCAGAGAGAGAGTTATGCATAAGAACCGGACTGTGTGCCTGTGTTGCTCTCTTATCCCCGCTGAACTTCAGGCAGCCTTAGGATGCAAAAGCAGAACGAGATATGTTGTACGTTGTTATATTGATGGAAACACACTGAACATGACAATGCACAGTACGACATGACCCAGCTGTGTTGACCCCCAGCATCCTTCTATAATGTTTTTTGTAGTGACATGACAAGACACATGACATGCGGTGCATGCTGCTGTGTTTATCCCAGGGCGCAGCTGTCTGGCCTTGAAAAACAGGCGCTTGGGAACGCTTGCACATTTCTAAGGCACTGTTCTTGCTTTTGAGTGCCTTGTACGTGTTTATATTAAAAACAGTGGAATTGAGGGCACAAAAAACACGGCATGTGTGCGGGACCTTAATTGTCCTTCACTTCACTAAGCGAAAGACAATCATAGAAATCAATAAAATAAATAAACAGTATATTGCAGTAATTAAGTACATGATCTGCTATTAATCAGGACACAACACTTAACAAGTAATTAACATATCCATCAATCATGGAATGGACCTGCATTTGTATAGCGCCTTTCTAGTCATCTGACCACTCAAAGTGCTTTATACACTACAAGTCACATTCACCCACTCACACACTGATGGAACAGCCATTGGGAGCAATTTGGGGTTCAGTATCTTGCTCAAGGATACTTTGACATGCAGACTGGAGGAGCTGGGGATTGAACCACTGATCTTTTGATTGGTGGACGACCTGCTCTACGTCTAAGCCACAGCCGCCCCATCAGTGGCTGACAGTTTTGTTCTTGTCTTGTTTCAGGAGCTTGGAGTCCTTTAACAGAGGCAGCTGTGGGGTTTGCACTGGGAGCAGTGGGAGGTTCCATACTAGGAGCCACAGAGGATCCAGTGGACAAGATCCTGTCAGTCATGACTTCTGCAGGTCCACTGAAACCAGTGATGGAGGAAGTCAGGACAGTGGGTGCTCTCGGGCTGGGGACCCTTCTTGGAGCCACAGCTTTGACCACTGTGATGACCTCAGTCGTAGCTGGTGTGATTTTGGCAGCAGTGGTAGCTTCAGTATTTGTGGCCATGAGAAGCTGCGGTGCCTCCCACACAGACTCTGCTGGTATGTGGGCATCAGCAGCACTCGCTGGGGCCTTTGGGACCACTCTCAGTGGAGCCACGCTTGGGATTACTATTGAATGGATTGTGAGGGCCTATGGCATGGTGGGCCTCTTGTGGGTGCTGAGCATATTCACCATGCTCAAACCGCCCCTGCACTTTGTATTTAAATTCCTCTGGAAGCAGGGAGAGGCCTGTTGCACTCTGGGATCTACCGTCTGGGACAGGGACAGGAAACAGATGGAGATTACAGAGTTGCAGCACAGGCAGAGAGCAGCTGAGCAGATAGAGCAGACGATACTGACGCTGGAGAAGGGAGGCAGCACCGGTGGGATGGAGAATAAGACGACATGGGCCAGTGAGCGAAGGCAGAGAGAGGAGATAGAAAGGAGGAAGATAGAGAGTGAAGAGGCAGAGATGGAGCAAAGAACAATCCAAGACTGGATCACCACGGTGGTGATCAAATACGTGGATTTCTTGGCTTTCTCTGGGATTCCAATGACAGTGGTCGCCATAGTAACATCAGGGTTCGGGGTGTTTGGTTACGGAGGCCACCAATCTGTATTTATAGTGCTTCTGGCTTTGGTTGTAGTCATAGCCTATTTGCTTATGAAATCTTCTGACTTTAAGTTCTGGATGTTGATAGGTTGCATGGCAATGCTTGCTACATTTGTCATTGCCATACTCACCCTACATGCCGGGCAGGTGGTTGTAACAACTGCCATGAAGATGCAAGCAGCAGGACAGAGTCAGTCCACAGAAAACATCAGTGCTCGTATGAACTACCAGTCCTCTCTGGAAGCTTTGAATGCAGCTGTCTTTGTGGCAAAATTATTTGAGCTGGGTTTAGGGGCTACAGTGGGGGGTCCGCTGGTGAGGCGAGCAGCTGGAGAGGTGAAAGTTATAGCAGGGGCGGCTTCAGTTGCGGGGGGTTTACTTGTGGGGTTGGAGGTTTTAGGCCCGGTTCTGGGAGAAGGGGGGAAAGCTGGGGCACTGCTGGGGGTGGTGGGGGCAGCGGGGGTGTCTGCGGGTGCAGCTGCAGCCTTGGCTGGAAGGTGGTCCTCATGGCTAGGAACTTTGGGAACAATAGCAGGGTTGGTCATAGGAGCATTAGGGGTGGGAAAATGGCATATTGTTAACATTGGACTGCAGCTGCCTGTTGCCTATATCTTTGCTATGACCAATCCCTTTTAACACAACAACCATAAGGCGACTGTCAAACATGTTGTCAAAGCACTAGGAGTTACCAGTGTGTCATTTGTACTAGTTACCTGTTTTGAGTTAATTGAAAGGATAAGTGTAGTTATATTCCATATTTTTCCCTACAATTAACAAATCCCATGTGTAGAGCCAAACCAGCAGTGAAGGTATTATAATAACAAGTATAATATATTCTTCCTCTATGCCAAATGATGACTATGAAAAATGCATCAGCGAGTCACATTGGGTATGTTTACATGCACACTAATAGTGCCCTATCAGCCTTACTAAGAATAACTAATGACCCCCTTCTAGCTGCTAACTCAGGTAATTGCTCCATCCTCTTGCTCCTAGATCTAATTGTAGCCTTGTAGACAGTGTGGGTTACTCTACTCTCATTCACAGAGTTAAGGAATAGGTGGGCATCTCTGATCCTGCTTTAAACTGGTTCCCTTCATATTTATCCAAAAGATCCTTCTTTGTCTATGTCAGCAACTCATTTTCTTCCTTGGCCCCCATCTACTGTGGTGCACCCCAAGGGTCCATACTTGGTCCAGTCCTCTTCTCTATTTTTTTTTTTACTTTCGTTAGGCCACATTATTCAAATACATAACATGTGTTTTCACTGTTATGTGCATGACACGCAGATCTACCTTCCCTTAGAGCCAAACAACATCAACAAACTAACTGAACTTGGGAACTGTCTTCATGACATCAAACCCTGCAAAGATTCCAGTTTTCTCCAGCTCAATGAGAGTAAAACTTAACTTATTGTATTTGGCCCACATCACTTGACCAGCATTATTTCTCCTTATCTTGGCCCATTGGCCCCCTTTGTTAACCCACATGTTAAAAATTATATTTGTTATATTTGATTCAGAATTGAAGTTTGACAAACAAATCAACCAAGTAGTAAAATTAAGTTTCATGCCGCTGCACACCATCTCCAAACTCAGATCAATTCTCTGTACTTCTAACCTAGAGAAAGTCATTCACGCCTTCATATCCTCCTCTGCTTTGATTACTGCAACTCATTATATACCTGGGAATAATTCTGGACAATAAACTCAATTTCGATCAGCACACCAGAGACATACAAAAAAGGAGCCAACAAAGACTGTCAGCTATCCGAAAACTCAAAGGACTCTATGTCGCCCCCCATCTACTGCTACTTCTGTACCAAAGCATCATTCATTGTTTCTTCACCATGCTTTCTGTCACCAATCGGGCCAAACTGACACACATCACACACACCGCTTCCAAGAGATCCCATTGACTCAAAGTGTCCACCTCTGTGAATGAATGTGATGTTTGTGATGTCTGTTATATGTCTGTACCTGTGATATTTGTGATCGATCTCTGTAAATGTACAGTTAGTGGAAACAAATTTCCCTCTGGGACGAATAAAGTAAGTCTAAGTCTAGTCTAAGTCTATATGTTGGCATTACTCACTCTTCTTTCTCCTGTCTTCAGAAAGTCCAAAAGGCAGTCCTGAGATCCAGGACTAAGTATTACAGGTACAAGACTTTCTTTGTCACTCCCCCCAAAGTCTGGAATTCTCTTTCTCCCACCATCTGATTCTCCCCAACCACTGAGATTTTCAAGAGTCAATATAAAACACACTTGTACTCACTACCCTTTAATTGTGCATAATGTGATTGTCATTATTGCTGTTACTGTCACAGTGTGGTGACAGTATAAAAACAACACTGATGCAGTTTTTTGCTATTGGTGCAATAATCCTGGTAATGACATGTTATCATTGTTGTTATTATTATTTTGTTGCTATTATCACTCAGATTCTCTTGTTTCTCCTTCAGTTGTACACTTTTCTCTGTGTGTGCTATAAGAGCACTTTGGGTCAACTCTGTGTTTAAAGTGTTACATAACTAAAGTTGATTTGACTTGACTATTATTGTGAATATATCAATTTTCTGAATATGATGCAAGTGGCGTGAACAGCATATTCTGTTTAGATATTCCAAATTAGGCCATTATTTTCAATTTTAGATTTTTTCTTAGAAAGTGGAGTATGGAAATATTTTAATAGATTTTAATAGCATTATTTAGTCATGTACTGTATACAGCACATGCCTGTGGGACTGTCCGGTCAAGCATTGCATCACTTTGAGGGCAGAAAGTGCATCCTCATCCTCAGCAGTTACATCCTCAAGCTCTTGCGGGAAATCTGGAACATCTTTTAGGAGCTCTTAGATTTTGCACATTTCAAGAAGGTGGTTGAAGAATTGAAAGATGGAAGGTGTATTTGCTCAATCCAACAAGTCCTGCAGCGGAAACTTTGAAAAAGTCATATTATGATGCAAAGAAGCAAAATGACAAGCAGCTCTAGCTGTTCCACTTTTCTGTTTTAAGAAGTGATACATCAACAACATGTTAAAAAAACAATTAATCTGAGTATGCAGGGTGATATACAGGAGTTTTATTGGAATATTCTTTTTTTTTTTTATCAGCTACGTAAACACCTTAGTAGGAATATTACCTTTTTCAGAATATGGGCAAAAAATAGAATATTTTGTGTGTAAAAATGTAGTCACTGTTGCACTGGGTGACATGTTCCGTCATTACCATGAACACACAGACACACACACACACACACACACACACACACACACACACACTGTATTTCATACACTGTGATGACTTAATCCCATATACACCATGCTTTTGAAAAGTAGAGCACATCATGTGGATTCATCCAAAAAATAAGCCTTTTTTTAAAGATGAAACTTTATTTTTTTATTTATTTATTTACATCTTCACTGGGAACCAGTGGGCTTGGGGCTGAATGCCACAGAGAGAGTAGGGATGTCATAAAGTATTGAGACATGCACAAACACACTGAAGGTTTTGATTTTTTAATAAGATTTTTAACCATAAGAAAAAAAAAACAGAGTAACATTCTGACTGGTCCTTTAAAGCTAAATTCCACCCACTTTTGACCAGGCAGGGGCTCAGGTGAACACTGGAAGAAGTGCAAGCTAGTTTGTAGCTGCATACTGTTGCAAGACAACAGAAGTCACTAAAATTACCAAAGATTTAATTACCAATTTCCTGGTCATCTCAAGTTTGCTGGAAATGTTATTCAAGGCCCAGTTTTTCTGCTGGTTGTCCTTACAAGTTGCTGGCGCCATAATGCTGGGTGTTTAGACGTCATCATTATCAGTTCCTCCATCTTGTCTTCTCTCTGCTTCAGTGATTCACACTAGTTGACTGGCTAAAGCCAGGCGACAGCTGCCTCATTGAAATGACTGGAGGCAGCGAGATAGCGTGCAGCGGTGTGAAAACCCCTATAGAGCTTGAAATCTTTCCTGCCAGATAAGGCTCTAAAACCAACAAAACTGTAACAGTTCACCTACAAAATCCAACTCCTGTTTTATACTTTATATTGAAGCTGGGGCAGCACTGTGTTAGCACTGCCACCTCACAGCCAAGAGGGTTCTGGGTGTAACCCACCAGCCAGTTTTTCCTTTTGATAGTTATCTGTAATGTTTTGTAGTGTACACTATGCTTAAGATTATTGCATTCTTACATGTCTGTACCAGGGGCCCACTGCAATATAACCTCTCTGTGTAAACTGATTAAATTGAAGATGTGTTATCTTTCAGAAAAAGATCTACCTCTGCTCTAAATCATTTCACATTTTATTTGAAGGTTATCTCAAATATCTTAATAAATAAAATGGTGGGATGCAAGAGATTTTTGAGTCATAAGGATGTCTCTGTGATCCAGTTCCACTAAACATACTGTGTCTTCTACTATGGTCCTAGGAAACCAAATCCTATATTTGTGATTCCACAGGCCAGTAAAGGCTGCCCCTTCTCCTTATACGCTGACTAAAGATCAACATTGTTAGTTTAGCCACATGACAGTTCACATTAGAGTCAGTATCTTGCATGAAAAATTGCACAATTCAATTCAGTTTAGCTCAATCCAATTCAATGCAAGAAATCTTTATTTATCCTGAAGTTACAGCAACACAAAATACATACATGTCAGCATCCTCCTGTCTGACACCTCCTCTACAGACTCCTGTTCCACTACTAGGACAGAACCAGCTTTCCTGATGAGCTTATAGAGCCTGTTAGCATCAGCTGCCCTCACCCTGCTGTCCTAGCACACTACAACGTAGAAGATGACGCTGGCTACTAAAACATCTGCAACATAGTTCTGCAGATGTTGATATATCTGAGCCTCCCGAGAAAGTATAGGCGATTTATAAGTAAAGCAGTGATATGACAGGTTTATGTATTCTCTCTGTAAGTTTCAGCCTCAGGAAAGACCTGTGTACGTTTAACTGCTTCTCTCAGGTCCCTTCAAGGAACATGTATGGAAATGAAAGGCTTTTCAAGTCATGTCATCACCTACATGTGATAAGTAGTGTGTGAAAGAATGTGGCAGAACCTGTTTTTCATGGTAAACCACCACACGTCTGAACCTCCAGCTACCAGTGAAGGTAAAAGAAAACTCAACTGTAAAATACAAAGAAATTCAAACTGTCACTATGCCTTGTGCCTTGTTCCCAACACAGATCTTTCTCAGTTTAGAGTTTCATGTTTTATTAAATTAAATATATTAATCAATTACATTGTTTCTGAAAAGCATAGCAATTATGGTCATTTTGTTTCTTTCTCACATGAGCAGTCCACTTAGAAACTGCTGTTATTAAAGCAATAATGCAACACCAACATCAGCATTACACTCTGCAAAACATGAACGAAAATGTCTAATGAAAAACAACTACAGAATACAAGTGAGTGTGAACTATAAATGCATAGAGATGCAAACAATATGCAACATGACATTTCACCACAATGCCAAATTTCTGCCTCTTCAATCAGTTTCCTGTTTTATCATGTGACACACAGCAGTCACATGACACTCAGCTTACCTTACCAGGAAGACATAAATGCTGCACCTGAGGGGAAAGTCCAGGAGAAGACAGTGTAGGCCTGCCTGCAATAACAATCCTGACACTGGGTTTATAGATCAGCCGTGTGCAAGTTAAAGTTTCAGGTAAACAGGTAGGAGACCGTCATTTTCATCATTTTAATAATGGCTTCATACCTTTTCACTAATGTAAAAAATCTTGAACAGGCATTGTTACGTCTGAGTGTGTGTGTGTGTGTGTGTGTGTGTGTGTGTAAACAGGATCTCAGCTGCTCCAGTGATCTTTGACCCACAGAGAGCTTTATTTTGTCTTGCTAAGATATCATGCATAACTCATGCAGAAATAAGGGAACAAATCGTAAGGGGGAAGTGGTGGTGGGAGTGGGAGGGGTCATCTTATTAAAGAGCTGTTAATAAAGTAACTTCATCAATGATGGTCCATCTACAAGGTTGTGATTTCCATGCTGATCCAAATGTTGTTTAAGAACCCTTTGAAATCTCATGTTAATTTTAATTTAATATTGTCAATATTGTGTAATCTCATTTGGAATTTACAGCACATTCACAGGTTCTCTTAAAGGGTAACTTTTAAAATTTTAAAGTGGAGCCTATAGCCAACATTTGTTTGTGGGGTCCATGTGGGTAGTAAATGGGCTGAAAAATGGTCCGTTTATGGGATTGTTCACAGGTCAGAGTCCTGCATGGGTCCATTTCTGAAAACCCGCACCCATCCATACCCGTAAAGCTCAATGTCACAAACCACCTGTTATCTGTTATTATGTCTAAGTCAAATACACACCCGCCCACACCCGTTAATAAAAGTCCCATGACCCGACCTGCACCTGTGATTAAACACAAACACATGCACATCTTTTTCATTTGTCGGTGAAGATTCTCAGTCATCCAGGTCATGGTAATCGTAAGTGCTATCTCGTAGGCAACTGGACTTGCTTGCGTTTCTTGAAGACATTTCAGTTCTCATCCAAGAAGTTTCTTCAGTTCTAAATGGCTGGTACGAAGTTGCAGGCTATAAACCCTGTGTGGATGGGAACGGTTACAGAGTCGTAGGGGTCATGTGAGCTCTTAGTTTCAGAGTCCTTAAGGTCACAATGTGAGTCGTTGACCCACCTGGCCACCATGTGAGTCGTTAGGGTCAGGTGGGACCAGGGGTGAATGGGTGTGAAGTCATCTGGGGAGGGATCTCAATGTAGTCTTGACTTCTACGACTCTGCAAGGGTTCCCACCCACACAGGGTTTATAGCCTGCAACTTCGTACCAGTCATTTAGAAGTGAAGAAGCTTCTTGGATGAGAGGCGAAACGTCTTCAAGAAATGCAGCTAAGTCCAGTTGCCTATCTTTTTTCATTTGTTTTATGTTGAAAAATTTTTTTTTTAGTTCATTTTTACCCTTGAATTTATATATATACAAATTGTTTACCTATTACACAGCTTTTGTGGGTTACCTGTCGAGTACCTGATGATACCTGACCCAGTGCAGAACTCATTCAGTGAATGTAGAGTCTGTAGGCAAACTCGGAGATCTTGCCTCCGGAAGAAGAGCGGAAAAGCCCTGGTTTTCGGTTGTAGGCTGTTTGTAGTCC